CGGGGGTTGTGCCCGAGCCGGATCCCCCGCTCCGGCTCCCAGGTAAGCCCCGCGCGGGCGGTCACCGCTCAGCGCCGTGCACCCCTGTCCCTAAAGTGGCTGTGATACCGAGAAAGTCGCCTGGCTGGGGTTCGGACCTGGGCGGGGGCGGCTGCTTTGTCCCGGTGCTGGGCGGCGGGGGCACCCAGCACAAAGGCCTGGCCCGGGAGGGGGGATTGTCCACGTGGGCTGGCCCTGGCTCCGGGTAGACCCTCCCCACGCGGGGGGGTTCGGCGCTTCCTGCCGCGCGGGGCTTGGTGGGGGGAGGCGATGGGTGCAGGTCCCAGCACTCGGGCCTCGGTGCAGGGCTGAGCGCCCTGCCGGGCGGGCGAGTTTCCGGGGTCAGAACCGGGCTCACGCAGCTGCGGCTTCGGAGCAGACAGGGCCCGGCTTGGCGCTCAAATCAGAGAGAAAAAGTCTCTAATGGGACAGATGTGCGTCCTCTGACGCCCACCTCAAGAGTCCAAAACCAGGCGGGAGGGGCCGGCGCGCTGGTGGTCGTCCCGGGCGCGCGGAGTTTGGGGCTTCGGGGAGGGCCACGCGGAGACACGATCGCCGCCTGCGGATCCCTGCTGCCCGCCGGAGCTCCCTGCCTGGACGCACGCAGCGGGCACTCACTCCTAAACGTCCCCCCTTCTCCTGTAGCCGAAGCGCCTCTTCGTCTTCCCGCGCCCCCTAACCCCCGTCTACAGAAAGATAAGCTTCAAGTTTTCACTCCGTATCTCAAATGTGCATGAAGGAATTTAACTGCATTGAATAACAGCATTAGTTTCAATTAATTTTTTTTAAATCCCGCCAACAATAAACTTTGAGAACAAAAGCGCTTTTACGTCCTTAATTAGGCGAGCTTCCCATCTGTGGTGTCTAAGTGTCTGCCTCTTGATTTAACTTTGTCCTCCGCCCCGCCTCCGCTGCACACCCCTCCCCACCCTGCTCGGCGGCTGCGGGTTCGGTGGCCACCCCCGTCCTGCGGCGCAGCCGGCCTCAGCCCAGCCGGCTCCCGGCGCCCCGAAGTTCACATCGGCGGGCAGATCCCGCGGCGAGGCTGGCGCGCACCAGGTGGCCCTACCCGCCTCCCTCCCGGCTCACCCCCTGGACAATCATGCAGGCCCCTGGCAATCTCGCCGCGGGCTAGCGCCCAGGGCGCAGGGCTGAAGGGAGCTCGCGAGGCGCCTTCTGTTTACCTTTTATGGTTAAAATAACAGCTTACCAAAGAAGCAACTTCTCGAAGAAGCGATTTAGTGAAATCGTCTCAAGCTGCTGCAGCTCAGCCAGTTTAATCACCCCCAGAGAGCTGAACAACTGCGAGCACAATGGGACACAAAATCATTTTGTGTGTAAATGAGCGTGGCATTCTGCTCGCTTTCCTCTGCTCCGGCGGGCGGGGCTCGGCGTCGGGCGGGCGCGGGACCCGGGGCTCCTGCAGCAGCTCTGAGAAGCGGGTCAGTACCCACCCAGTTTGGAAACCCGCAGGCCCTCGCGCGCACTACCGACCAGGTGCCTGCAACAGGCTGTTCGGCCGAACCTCGGGAGGGCTCTGGGGCTGGGGCTGGATCATGGGTTTGGTGCTGGTGCTGGCGGAATGAACTTGTGTCTCTTACTGCGCCCACTTTGTGCTTCTGACCTCAGCAGTGGTCTCCAGGAAAGGGTCGTTGTCCAGCACAGATGCTTTGGTCGGAGGGATCGCTGGAGGTTCGGGTCAAGGCGTAAAGCCTGGGGCTTCCAACGGTGAGTTTCCGGTTTGCCATGAACATAAGGTTATGCTTGCAATGGAAAAGAGGCTGGGTGAGAACGGAAGGTTATGCTTGCAATGGAAAAGAGGCTGAGTGTGTACGGGATTGAGCAGCTTTTGTGATGGGTACTTGGTGTTAAATGTCACTTTTGAGTAGAGTCCTGGTAGTAGGGAAAACATTGCGCAGTCTGCTTTGATAGAATTTCCATCAGAATTTCTTCCAGCACAGTTTATCCTCAATGTGGCTTTCCTTCTGACTCCTCACCCAGCAGAGCCTCCCAGGGCAGGATAACCCATTCCTGACATCTGTTTTGGTTTCTCAGAACTTCCTTGAGATAAATGACCTGCCTTTTT